CAGCCTGGATCAGTGGTGACTTGGGAACTGGACCTTAGTATTGAACTAAGGCATGAGATCAAACCACCAGGTGTGGGGAGGAACAGGCACCTGACTGCTCCTTTATACATGCAGGTGTGAATGTGAGGGCACGTGTGCGCGTGTTTGTTGTGGAATAGAATATCTGTTTAGGTAAAGGTATGTTGCCTTTTTTGTGTGTGTTACAGAATAGTTGTTTAACTATGTAAAGGTGTGTTGTTGCTGTTTCACCTTGCCTGCCTAAGGCACCTGACTGGTCTAATAAAGAGCTGAGTATCCAATATCGAGGCAGAGGAGGGATAGGCAGGGCTGGTGGGCAGAGAGAAAAGGGGAACCAGCCAGCTGCTGGCCAACCCAGGGCTGGACAGACAGACACAGGAAGCAGATAGACAGTGCCTAGATAGGTAAATAAACATCGGGGCAGCACTTAATAGAAATGGGCTAATTTAAATGGGTTTTTTGTTTGTTTTAAAGCTAGTTAGAAAGAAGCTAAGCTAAGGCCAAGTATTGACATTAATAATAAGTCTCCATGTCTTGATTTGGGGACTGGTAGTCAAAGCCTGGTACGCGTGGCTTGTGGAGGATGGAAGTCCACCTTACTGACACAGTGTTTCCCACTGGACCTGGTCTTCTCCCTGGTGCTAAGATGGCTGGCCATCTTAAGATTACCTCAGACTCTGAAGATGCCCTTCCCGCTAGAAGGCACTGCCTGCTTCGCTGCAGGGGAGGACACGGAGCGATTTGTTCCCCGGGGGAATTCCTTCCGTGGGGGGGGGTGGAGTGATAGTAGGGTGACTCCAAGGATTTGTGGGGGTCAGGGTGTGCCTGAGCCTCCCAGGGATCAGCTTCCCCCTTTTCTTGCCTCTGCCTCTTCCCTTTCTGGTGGCCTGTGATCCAGCGTTGGACCTTTTCCCGCAGATTTTTCTTTTGTCTCAGCAAGACAAAATGTCTGGTTAGAAGGGTGTGCCACTCACAAAAGTAGCCGCAGAAGAGCAAGCACCCTGTTTTGTTTGTGTGTTCGTATTTTGGGGTTTTCCAGACAGGGTTTCTCTGGCTTTGGAAGCTGTCCTGGAACTAGCTCTTGTAGACCAGGCTGGTCTCGAATGCACGGAGATCTGCCAGAGGCGCGCACCCCCACCGTCTGGCCTGTTTTGTTTTGTTTTTTGTTTTTTGGGTTTTTTTTTTTTTTATTTTTTTGAGACAGGGTTTCTCTGTGGCTTTGGAGGTTGTCCTGGAACTCGCTTGGTAGTCCAGGCTGGTCTCGAACTCACAGAGATCCGCCTGCCTCTGCCTCCCAAGTGCTGGGATTAAAGGCGTGCGCCACCAACGCCTGGCCCTGTTTTGTTTTTTTAAAGACGTGGTCTCAAGTTCACTGTAGCTGATAGATCTTGAACCTAGTTCCTCCTGATTCTGCCTTCTAAAGTGCTGGCAAGTACAAGCATGCGCCACTTTGTCCCATCTTGTTGGAGTTTTTAAAACTATTAACTGTCTCACACTAGAAGGTTCCCTCAGAGAGCTAACTGTTCCCAGTCTTTCTCTGGCTCTGCATTGCCATAGCGCCATCTGGTGGCAGTTGGCTTTATGCCAGGACAAAGCCTGACTAGTAAGTTGTTTCCCCAGCTAGCCCCTGAAAGCGGTCTGGTTTCCATCCATCTAATATCTGTCTTACTTTTTCAGATGGAGAACTGAGGCATGGGGCAACCTTGAGACTCAGGTCTCCGGGCTAAGCATGGAGGGATGGGTTTCAGATGGGCTATGGGGCCTGCCCCTTGTCCTTGTGCTGTGCCGTGCCATGCCAGGCAACTGACAGGGAAGCTCCGTGTTCTCCTCTTGGGCCTCAGCGATGGCATGGGCACTGTAAGGAAGTGGGGCAGCAGGGTCTGGAGTAAGGTGCCTGTGGGCCTTCTTCTCAATCGTAGGACTACCCAAGCCTCTGCTTCGGTGCCTTGAGGTTACATCCCATACCCTCTTTGCTGTTTTTCATTCAGGAGGGTTCCGGGGTCTGCTTAATGATGCTCTGACTGGTGCTGGGATGTATGTCAGTTACTGAGTCACTGCTCGCTTATCTGGTACCCAGAACAAAACAGACAGATGCTGTCATCCATGGTCAGGCTGTCACAGGTGGCTTATCACATATGGCCCTCACCTCCCTTGTGCACATTGCCCCCCCCCCAGCTTCTTCCTGACCCCACTCTAGACACCCCAGCTGTGCCTCTTGATAGATGAGCTCTGTGCTGCACATGGCCTCTCCCGGGTTCCCTCTAGCCACTCACTGACCACCATGGATGAGGGTTCAAACCAGCACAGATGGTGTGACACAGCTTTCTGGTTTGTGATCTCTTCTGCCTCCTCAGTCTTATGGTAGTTGGGTGTTTGGGTTTTTATTTTATTTTTATAGTTTTTTGAGACTGGGTTTCTCTGTATAGCTTTAAAGCCTATACTGGAACTAGCTTTTGTAGACCAGGCTGGTCTTGAACTCCTGAGTGCTGCGATTAAAGGCATGTGCCACCACGGCCCAGCAGTAGTTGGGGTTTTTGTTTGGTTTTGGTTTTTTACTCTTTGGGGGCCTGCCGCCCAGCTCCCAAATAAATACGCAGAGACTTACTCTTACTTACGAATGCCCAGTCTTAATTTGGCTTGTTTTGGGGCTCATATTAGAAATCCCAGCACTCAGGAGACAGAAGCAAGGCAGCCAGCCTGGCTCAGAAAATTACCCAAGAGGTGGATGGGAGGAGGTTATGAAGCTGGGAAGAAGGCTTGGTGATCAGGGCTGGGGAGAATGCAGCAGCCTGGGTGACTCCTGACCTCTGTGTAGCCCACACGCCATGTTCTTAGCTTGTTGCTGGGAACTGGCTGCTTGCTTTCTCCTGGGCTCTCTGGGCATCTCTCCTGTGGTGAAGATGGGAGGGCTGCAGCTGAAGGGCTTCCACAGCTGGGGGGGGGGGGGGTCTGCCTTGTGCTTGTATCTCTGTTCCCAGAGATGTTGAAAGTTCCTTCCCAGCCCATCGCTTCCAACTTCCTTTCCAGTTTAGCCCCCATACTTGCCAGGCCCCAGCAGCTTCTTTAACAAAGAGTCGGAGTCACTGGCATGCATAGTAAGTTCTAGGCTATATAATAATGAGAGCTCATCTTTAAAAAAAAAAAAGTCTGAGTCATTGGCATTGTGTTTGTGGCTATACCAGCACTGATGCCATAACCAAGACCATTGTCTCCCAGTGTTTGGCAGGATTGGGGTGGCTCCTGCCTTTCAGTGTCTGGATCTCACACATGGAGCTGCATACTGATAGCTATTCTAGCAGAGATGGATGAACTGGGAAGAGAACCACATTCCAGGTGCAACTGAGTGCCTGTCTGAAGCCAGGAAAGCTCACCTGAGTCATGAGGGGTCACCCCTGTGGTCTCTGATGTTAGCATAGACTGTCTGGCAGGGTGTTCTGGGACTTGGGTTCCCTCCTAGAAGCTGGGTACCCATAGCCTTCTGTCTCTGCCTTCTCCAGCCCCTCCCCCCCAGTCCTGATTGTCCTGATAGCGTCACTTCCTAGAGCTGTACTGCCACGTGTCCTGGCACTGTGGTATGAGCTGGTGACTTTAAACACCTTAGCACCATGGGCGCTTGACATAATTTTTTTAGTAACTACAAACTTTCTATAAATGAGAATTCTCGGCTGCAGTTTCCTAATACCTAAAGGTTTCTACTGTGTTCTTAGAAACTGAGGTATAAGCATACCTGATTGGGTGCTTGGGCAGCTATATAACTCATCCAGTCCAGGTGCTCAACCGGGAGGAAGTCTGTCGTGCCAGAGTTGTCTGGGTGCTAAAAGGACCACAGTGGACTTGCTATGGCCTTTTTGAGAGTGAAATAACATTCCCCAGAAAGTTCCTGTAAGCTCAAAGGGCAAGCCAGAGGTCAGAGCAGACCTTGGCTGTCATAAGTGAAGGAAAATGGAACCCCAACCTTCAGACTCCTACGCCCCATCACCCTTCTGTGCTGTCCCCACAGTGGGGCAGGGGCTGCTGCCCAGAAGCCTCTGGACTGCTATTGTGGTTTCTTGTCATGGCCTGATGACTCACTGAGCAGGGTCACAGACAATTCATAGTAAACCTGAGGTTAGCCACACTGGGTCTTCCTAGGAACTTCACAGCTGGCCATTGGCAATACCCACAAATCGTCATCTTACTCTGAAAATGTCACAGGACAGTGAGCACCCCAAATCATGTCTTCATGTCCGCTGCTCTCAGCACCCTGGTGCCACCCACCCCACTGTGCTGAGGCAGGGGCTGAGCTCAGAAAGGCTTGGTGTTCTTGTTAATGTTGAGGGAAGGGCTGGTCACTCAGCTGCTGCACTTGACATCAGTGTTTATTTCCTTGGGTTATCACAACCTATCACAGACAGGACCTCAGAAGAACAGACACCTTCTTCACAGCATAAGCTTTAGGAACAGCAGCTGGGTGGCACTGCCTGTAGCTGCTTCAGTTTTAACTTCCAGAAGTCTGGTGCTCTAAGTGGGGTGGGGCTGGGGCTGTTCTTAGCTTACTGACTGCTCTCTTCTCCTTTTCTTTGTCCCTTCCACCATCACTGATGGCAGCTGCTCACTTTCACCTGGAGAACCCCAGGTGACATCTGATTGGCTGACCTGGGTCTCTATCCCCGAGTTAGGAGGACCCAGATTCAGAACTACTCTGCCCTAAGAATGAAGGGTGAGCCCTGGCAGCCTGGAAGAGGTGGTCCTGCAGGTGTTCCTTGTATCCTGGTCCCACTCGCTAGAGTGCCTTCTTGTGGACTGCCTAAGACCTTCTCCCTGGTAGTGGGAGCTGCACATGTCCAAGAGTGCTCAACTCCAGTTGGTTTCCTGGAGCTGGTTAGCTTAGCAAAGGAAGAGGCAGGGCTGCCGCCAGCTCTGCGTCCAGTCCACTACCCTCCACACCACTGAGCTTGCCTGTCCCAAACTGCCATCTGACCATGTCACTTCCTCTGCTCTAGAAACCTCCCCAAGGTTGCAGACGCTGACGGATTTGCCCCAGAGTCGGAGTAGCTGCCACCTGGAGATTCCACAGCCATGAGTGGGTTTAACTTTGGAGGCACCGGGGCCCCTGCTGGCGGCTTTACATTTGGCACTGCGAAGACTGCGACGACCACACCTGCCGCTGGCTTTTCCTTCTCTACTTCCAGCACTGGAGGGTTTAATTTTGGGACTCCCTCCCAGTCAGCAACAACCACCCCTTCCACTGGTCTCTTCTCACTCACCACGCAGGCCCCAACTACACAGACCCCAGGGTTCAGCTTTGGAACAACGCCTGCTTCTGGAGGAACTGGCTTCTCCCTGGGGATCAGCACCCCAAAGCTCAGCCTGAGTAACACAGCTGCCACACCAGCCACAGCCAGCACTGGCAGCTTTGGCCTTGGCAGTAGCACCCTTACCAATGCCATCTCAAGTGCTGGGACCTCCAGCCAGGGGACGGCCCCTACTGGCTTTGTCTTTGGGTCCTCTACCACCTCTGCTCCGTCTACAGGCTCCACGGGGTTCTCATTCACCAGTGGCAATACATCCCAGCCTGGAGCCTCCGGCTTCAGCATTGGCTCTGTGGGTAGCTCAGCCCAGCCCACAGCACTGTCTGGCTCTCCCTTCACTCCAGCCACGCCGGCGACCACTACAGCAGGAGCAGCACAGCCAGCTGCTGCTGCGCCCACCGCTGCCGCCACCACTACAGGGTCCACACTCTTTGCTTCTATAGCACCTGCTCCTGCCTCATCCGGTGCTGCAGTGCTCTCCCTCTCAGCTCCAGTGACAACTGCAGCCACTCCTAGTGCCGGTACCCTGGGCTTCAGCCTCAAGGCCCCTGGGGCAGCTCCTGGCACCTCCACTACCAACACCACCTCTACCACCACCACCACCTCCACCACGACCACTGGCTTTGCTTTGAGCCTGAAACCCCTGGTGCCAACTGGCTCCAGCAGTGTAGCCACTACGGGGACTGCTCTACCTGGCTCCAGCACAGCAGCTGGGACTACCACAGGCCCCGCGATGACCTACGCACAGCTGGAAAGCCTGATCAACAAGTGGAGCCTAGAGCTGGAGGATCAGGAGCGACACTTCCTGCAGCAGGCCACGCAGGTCAATGCCTGGGACCGCACACTGATTGAGAATGGGGAGAAGATCACCAGTCTGCACCGAGAGGTGGAGAAAGTGAAGCTGGATCAGAAGCGCTTGGATCAGGAGCTGGACTTCATCCTATCACAACAGAAGGAGCTGGAGGACCTGCTGAGCCCATTGGAGGAGTCAGTGAAGGAGCAGAGTGGCACCATCTACCTTCAGCATGCGGACGAGGAGCGGGAGAAGACCTTCAAGCTGGCTGAGAATATCGATGCACAGCTCAAGCGCATGGCACAGGACCTCAAGGACATCATCGAGCACCTGAACATGGCTGGTGGCCCTGCGGACACCAGTGACCCGCTGCAGCAAATCTGCAAGATCCTTAATGCACACATGGACTCCCTTCAGTGGGTGGACCAGAGCTCTGCCCTGCTGCAGAGGAGGGTGGAAGAGGCCAGCCGTGTATGTGAGGGCCGCCGTAAGGAGCAGGAGCGCAGCCTGCGCATTGCCTTCGACTAGTCCCGCATGAATAGGGGGAGCTCCTTGGGTTACAGGGCTGCGGGCTTTCTGTTGGGTGGTTGTGCTGTTTAGAGAAACATTCTTTAACAGAAGTTGTGCAAAGTGTGGCGCTCATTGTTGTAACCTGTGTTCTCTGGAGCCAAGCTTGAGTGTCACTGAGTTTTAGGCCAGTATTTAAACAAAGGCAGGTGTTGAATTCAATGCTGCCTCATGGCAGCTTCAGTTCATCCACTGCATGTGAGACAGAGTACTCTAAAGGAGATATTGGCCAAGAAACTTACCTGGGATGGAGATGTGGGTTTGAAAGCCCAAGGTTTCTGCACCTCTCCAACTCCCCATCTAGCCCATGTTCTCCAGAACCTCTGCCACACAACGCAGCGCCACCAAAGCACACTGAGCGAACGGCTGTTTTGCACTGGCTACCTCTCACCCCTAGATTGTGAGCTTCTGTGGTAGGGTCTGTGCGTTTGGGGCCCAGAGTGACAGCAGATTTGCCTCTGGACATCCCAATGTCAAAACCATCTTAATCACAGATCCACAGTGTTGAAGACCAGCAGTCATGTTTTGGTCTGTTTTATTTCCCTGTGTTCTGCCATAGCCTCTCTGGTCCCTGATCAAATGTTGCTTGTCTAAATAAAAAAAATTGTGAAATCAGACCTGCTGTGAGTGTAAGTAAGTAGTGGGGAAAGGTCCAGGACTTGGTAGGGCACTGCTGATGATAACTAGTCCTGTGTCTTTGGGTTGGAACCATTGACTGAGACACATGGGCCCAGTCTTCTACCTTCCTGGGGTGGGCGGGCTGTAGGTGCAAGAGTCCTGTCCACCCGTGTACACAAGTAGTAAATCACTCCTTAACTCCAACGTGTGCAGGTATCATTTGTGATATCTTCAGCAATGGGGAACAGGGAACACTGGCATATGGTTTCCAGATGCTGGACTCATACCAAGCATTTGACTGCCGCTCCTACAGCCCCGGGGAACCTGGACCAGCAGTCTGAAGATTCCAGAATGGGGCCACAAGTTATTTTCTTGAGTCATGTTGGACTTCAAAACACAAGAGAAAGCTGTGGGGTGGGGAGAGGGCCTGGAGAGGTAGCTCACTGGCTGCTCTTCCAAGGACCCTGGTTTGATTTACAGCACCCACATGGTAGCTTATAACCATCTGTAACTCCATTTCCAGGTTACCAGGTACCCTCTTCTGGCCTTCTTAAGTACTGCATGTGCCTAGTGCAAGATATACATGCAGACAGTCATATAATAAAATCTCTAAGATTAGGAAAAGAGAAAGCCTGGCATAGCAGTGAACACCAGCATTCTGAAGTCATCTTCAGCTACATAGTCATATGAGGCCTTGTCTTGTCATATGATGCAGGGCCAGTGAACTGGAAGGCACAAATCCTAAGAGCCCCAGGGGCCTTTCTGCAGTATGTGAGTTTTTGTTGGGTTTCCCCCTCTGGCCCAGACAGGCCCTCCTTGAATTGGTGTGTCCTTGTCTTAGTTTCCTGAGTGCTAGGATTATGGGCAAGCCACCACAACCCAGCTCTGCACTCCATTGCTTGACCTCAACTGACCATGATGTTGAGGCCTCAACTTCTCAAGATGGGTCTAACACACACACAGGGCTGTTAGTGTCGGGCTCAAACAATAAAGATGGTCAGTGTGCGTTTCTAATGTGTATGTCCTCATTGTGGATTGTATATTGAACATAAAGCTGAATTATCTTGCCATTTGCGAGTACAAGCTGCATACTAAGTATGCACTGTCCCTGCACTACATCCTAGCTGCCTTGCTTTATAAAAGTAAATTGAAATCATGCCCTGATGGTCTGCCCCACTTTGAAGAAAATAGAATAGATCTCTGTGCTGGGGGAGTTGGGGAGGGGTGCCCAGGACGGCAACACTACTGGTGCCCTATTGGGCACTGTTGCCCAGGCTACACTATAATTCCAGTTTCCCTCTCCAGGAAGAACACAGGCAGATGTCCCGCCTCAGTGGCCGGTCTCTTCATTAACCACCATGAAGACAGCAAAGGTGACTGCATGGGGAACTTCTTTCACATCTCACTTGATAGCCAAGGGCCAGCTGTAAAGAAGCATGGTGGGCTAGCCTAGCCTAGTGTGAAACGCTCACGAAAGAATGCAAGCAGTGTGTAAAATGTCAAATAAGTAGCAAGTTATATCCGTGTCACATTAAGGAATGAAAAAGAAGACCAAGAGAGCCCAAGTTTAAATCCTCCACTTCCTTCCCTGTCTTTACCAAGAGCTCGGCTGTGTATTGAGCAGCACAGAAAAGAAACATGGGGTGGGAAGAATGCATGATAGGCTTTTACAGAAGTCCCTCAAAGAGTTTTCTAAGGAATGACCCAGAACAGCGCTTGAAAATGCACACAGATGTTGCCAATCTGTTTGCACATACATGCTGCTTCCAGCATTTATGGGATGTTTTATTTGAAGGTTGCTTTCAGCCAATGCTTTCAACTGGAAATGAAACCCAGTCACTCGGGCCCCAGACATTAAGGAAGAGTACAGCCTAGCTAAGCTTGCAGCAACTGGTGGGGTGGGCAGAGCAGGCTAGAAAGGTAGGTGCTTTTGTTATCTTAAGGACTGGTTACATTTGAAGAGGCTGAGGACGTGCTTTTAAAAGGGCTCACGGCATGTTTTTGACTGATTACAGCTTCTAAAGGAGAGACACAAGAAAAAGTCCCACAGAAGGGGAGAGTTTCAGATTGTCGGTAGTAGAATTTAATTGTTTTATTTGGAAATGAGGTTTCTAGCCCAGGCTGGCATCAAGCTCCTTATGTGGCTGTGGGTGACCTTGAACTCTGGGTTCCCCTGCCTCCATCTTCCAAGTACTGCCATCACAGTGCTCACTACATCAGGCTTCTGTGGTGCTGGAATAGAGCCCAAGCTTTGTGCATGCTAGGCAGACTACCAACTATATCCCCAGGCTGTAACGGGTCATCTGTGTGTGAGCCCTGCCTGACCTGTCCCCCATGAGATGGGCTTGTCTCTGCCTCCTAATGCTGGGGAGTTCCTATCCTGAAGGGTAGGGATTGACTGCCTGTGTCCTTCTGTTTGTCAGTGAAGCTTTTTGTGGAGCACAGCCTCACACATTGTGAAACAGACCATGCAGGCTGGGGTGTAAATCCTGGCATAGAGAAACATCCTGCAAGAAATGAATGTCTGGGACAGGATTCAAAACAGTCCTGCCAGAGAGGACAGGTAGATGGTGAGCAAGGGCTATGGTGGCACATACCTATCAGCCTAAAGAGACAAGGCAGAAGGATGGCCTCAAGGTGGAGGGCAGCCTAGGCTACAGAGTGAGACCCTGTCTCAAAAAACGAAAACAGGCTTGGCGGTGGTGGCGCACACCTTTCATCCCAGTATTGGGGAGGCAGAAGCAGGTGGATCTCTGTGAGTTCTAGGCCAGCCTGGTCTACAGAGCAAGTGCCAGGACAGCCAGGGCTGTTACACAGAGAAACCTTGTCTTGAACTCCCCCCCCAAAAAAAGGGCATTCTAGAAAATTCTGCCACAGCCTACCAACTGGTCTTCCTCTCAGGACCTGGCTTCTTAACAAGGCAGTAGGACAAAGCTATCACCATTTGCCCTGGTTCTGCCTGCACCAGAGGATGACTTCCGTACCAGGCTGACCAGAAAGGCCATGGGCGCCAGGAAAGCCCCCCAAAGACCAGCATGCAGTGAGTGTCCCCTGTGTGGGGTGGGGAGGCTGGGTGGAGGCCACTGCTGCTTTATCCCTGTCCAGACCTGGGGCTCCCTACCTTCTTGGTGACAGTGAATTGAGCCCACTAGACTGAAACCTGTGCACTAGTGAGGTCCAAGGGTCTCTCCCACCAGCTCTGTCCCCAGAATCCCTGGGAGACTGAGCCAGGTCTGCCTGCTGGGATGTGGCCCAGGCCCTGCATCACTGTTTCTGTGGATCAGAAGCAAACCATGCTGGTCGGGATCCCCAAAGCCAGAAGCAGTTGACAGGTGTGTCTGTGGCCATGACACGTGCACACGCTAGCGTCTGGGTTCCTGCCCTTCTGTGGGACTCTGAGCCTCACTTGGGACTCTTGCTCCCAGTTCGTGCCTCCCTGACCCATCCCCACATACCGTGCCTTGTTCCCAAGATCCCAGCATAACCAGGAAAGGACAGGTCTCAATAGTGGCTAAATAATACTGCTTGGAACTAACACTGGGATTTTGGAATATACGTATATATTAAGATAGGGTCTCGCCGGGCGGTGGTGGCGCACACCTTTAATCCCAGCACTCGGGAGGCAGAGGCAGGCGGATCTCTGTGAGTTCGAGGCCAGCCTGGTCTACAGAGGGAGTTCCAGGACAGCATCCAAAACAATACAGAAAAAAACCTGTCTTGAAAAAAACAAAAGCAAAACAAAAAAAAAGATAGGGTCTCACTGTAGCCCAACCTGGCCTTGAACCCCTGATGATGAGGGTGAGCTGGGATGGCAAATACATGTGTGTGCTCATACACCCTGCCACGGGATCACTAATTCGGGGTTTGGCAACCCTGTCTGAATCTGTTCTCTTTGTTTCCTTAGTTCCCCAGGGCAAGGGGAGTAGCCTCAGTTTACTCCAACCAGGGATCCAAAAGTGTTCCCATGGGGCCAGAGAGGTGGCTCAGGGGTTGAGAACACTGACTGACTGCTCTTCCAGAGGACCAGGGTTCAATTCCCAGGACCTCCATGGGGGCTCACAACCATCCATAGCTTCAGTTTGAGCAGACCCAATGCCCTCATCTTTGGACATCACATACACACACAGTACATAGACATACAGGAAGGTAAAACAACCACACGAATGGAAAATCTTTTCACTTAAAACTAGTCCCTGAGTGCCAGGCTCCACCTTTGCCCTTGCCCTTTCCGTGGCAACTTCAGGTTCCTGTCATTGGTGCTAAATTGAATCCAGAAACTGAGGAGGAACACTGAATGCTGTCTTTCTAGCATTCAGGACACTGGGGCAGGAGGGCCATAGGGAGTTTGAGGCTAGCCTGGCATACAAAATGGGACCTTGTCTAAATAAATTAATAAGTAAACGCCAGGCTGTGAGGAGGCTATTTTCCCCTCTGTCAATCCTCTGTAGGGCTGAGGCCAAGCGCTGCTCTAAGCCATGGAGCCCTGCCTGACCCGGGCCTCCAGCCTACCCGGCTTTGAGCTTCTGGCCACTGTTTGGCGCCAGCCACAGAGCACACTACGCACACGCGTGTGCAGACACACACACACCAACCGCCTCCTCTTCGCGGGCTCTGGAGTTTCCCATTTTGTCCCTTTGTGATGCCCCACCCTGGCTTTCACTCCTGACCCGTCTCCTCAACCCCAAGGAAAATTCCCCTGCATTCTATTACCTCACTTCACCAGCTATGGGTGACAGTAGTGTCATCTGGTCTTCACTGCTCATGGCCTCCTAAAGGCCAGAAGCAAGCTTCTGGGGACATTTTTCTGAGATGTCGTCAGTTCAGTCTGCTGCTCGTCAGTTCTTAAGACAAATAACAAAGAGGGAGGGACAGGTGACCACTCGTATCCATCCCCATGGTTTTGCAGCTGCTGCAGCAGGTTCTGGACCCGGCCAGGTGACATGTGCAGGCCCTGGCCTGGCTCTACTGCCATACTGTGATTTACCATGAGACATTACCATGGGCACCAGAATGTGGAAGGCCCTGTCCCAAGAACCCAGGTCCCAGTCTTGGATGTCCCATTTCATAGAGTTGGAGATAGGCCTGGAGAGATGGGGAGGGGAGGCCTGACCTGGGATGGGCCTAAGACAAAAGTCCAGGAGGCCTAGAGCGCAGGGACCACCACCCCCAATGCCACCTGGATGGGCAGTCCCCACCCACAGCTTCTGCAGAGCTATTTGGGGCAGAAAGGAAAATGAGCTGAGTTACTTCCTCCTGTGACCCTCTCCCCTTCCTCCACCCCCACCTCCCCCAGCATCTGACCCACTCCAGGAAAGCACTTTCAATTCCCCGGGGAGGTGAGTGGGCGGGGCTGGCTGCTTTAAGTGGGGGAACTGCAGAGACTCTGCTCTGCTGCCCTGTTCCAGAGAGTTGGAGGGACAGCTACGTGGAGAGCGGTGACAGTGACTGGGAGGTAGGATGGAGGGAGCTAGGCCAGGGTTTGGAGAATGGGCCTGAAGGATCAAGAGTAGGTCTGGGGAAATACATGCCCAGAAAGGAAGGGGAGAGACAGGCTGTCGGGGGTCCCTGGCCCCATCACAGTGACCCCCACCCCTTCACTCAGACAGCGGCTGCCACTTGCGCCATGGCTTGGCTGGGTAAGTGAGCAACTGAAGGGAGGAAGGGGGTGCTGGGAGTGTAGCTAGCCCTGTGCTCCAGCTGCCTGTGCACTGACCCTCTCCTGTTGCCAGCCCCACGTCTTGTCCTTGTGGCTGTCCTCCTGGTTCTGACAGCCTCTCTGGACTGGAAGACGGCCTCCAGCCTGAATCTCTTCGACAAGTGCATGGAGGACCTTGATTATGAACAGCTACTCAGGGTGGTGACCTTGGGCCTCAACCGGACCCTGCGGCCCCAGAAGGTGGTAGTTGTCGGTGCTGGCGTGGCTGGGCTGACAGCTGCCAAGGTGCTCAGTGATGCGGGACACAAGGTGAGGCATGCCCCCTGATGTCTGGCTGGAGCTTTTCCCGGTGCCAGTGGGGTGCCTGCTCTTTCCCAGGGCCCCCATCCCACTCCCCCTTCCTCTCTGTAATTGCCAGAGTCAAAAGGGGGATCAGTGTCAGGGGAGCGCCGAGAAGTTCCCAGGGGGAAGTGTCCCGTCACTGAAACCTAGGAATGAGAATGGGCCAGCCTGTGTTTTGTATGCAAAGCAGGAATCTCCCTACCTTAGGCTGGGAAGCCCCTCCCCTCCGCAGTCCGTCTGGTGCTTTTCCTGCTGCCTTGAAACCTTAACTTTCTATTCCCCTAGCAGCCCCTTCTGTCCTTGTAGTCTAGGTGTGCCTTTCTGTGGGCAGCAGGACAGGCATGGGGCTAGTGTGGGTGTAGTAAGGGGAGCTGAGGTCCCTGCTTGCCCAACCTCATCTTCAGGTCACCATCCTGGAGGCAGACAATAGGGTTGGGGGCCGCATCTTCACCTTCCGAGATGCCAAGACCGGCTGGATAGGGGAGCTGGGGGCCATGCGAATGCCCAGCTCCCACAGGTGAGATCCCACCCAGGCAGTGGAGGGCCACCCCCCACCCCATGTTCAGCCAACTGCATTCCTGATTCAGACTCAGCCAATCCCAACCCCATTCTTGCCCTGGGCTCAGTGAGAATCCAGCTCCGTCCCTAGTCCACGCTCCAGTCTTCGTTTTGAGGTGCTGTGTATGGAGTCTTGGGCCTCAAGATGCACCTCTAAGTCCACTGCAGTGTCACCCAAACCCACGCCCAGTCAGAAGTTGTGTCTAGACCTCTCTTCCCGCTCGCAGCCCGCAGGACTTTCATCCTGGCTAGCAGGCTTGGCTCAACATTCTGCAGTCACGTCTGGCTGGGCCCGCTCTACCTTCCGGGAGGCTGGGGTGATCACTCACCTCCCCATTTGTGCCCCTAGCCTGCAGTCTGCCTGAGTTCTGCCCCTATTCCCACCCCCAGCCCCCGAGTCAGCCCTCAGTCACCAGTCACCAGCTCCATTCCCATCCTCAGTGACCCCCCCCTTCCAGGATCCTGCACAAGCTCTGTAGGAGCCTGGGCCTCAACCTGACTCAGTTCACACAGTATGATGAGAACACGTGGACGGAGGTGAATGACGTGAAGCTACGGAACTATGTGGTGGAGAAGATGCCAGAGAAGCTGGGCTACGACCTGAGCCACAGGGAGAGAGGCCGTTCTCCGGAGGACATCTACCAGATGGCACTCAACAAGGTGACCACCAGCTCCCCTGCAGAGCTCAGCCCTGCCCACAAGAGTTGTGTCTCTACTGCACCCTGTCAAGGTCTATTCTGCGCCTCTGCTGACAGCCAGCGTACCCTCTGCTGTAGCCCCTGGCACTCCCAGGACCCTCCAGCACCTTTGATACTCCGGGTCCCCATCTGGTTGCCTTAGACGGGCTCCCAGGCATTACACTCCGGTCCCAGAAGTTCTTTTCACACAGAATCTAACCCTGTGCACAGCTCCATATGACTCCCCAGTGCCTCTCAGGCCCATGGACCAGACCTGCCAGATAGCTTCCCCTCCCTACATCCACTAGTGGTCCAGGCATACCCTCTGCTTCTGGAACTCCACCTGGCTCAGCCATCATCCCTAAGTCTGCATCCTCAATGTGTCTCCGCCTGAGTGCCTTCCTCCTTACCCAGGACAAGGAGGGCAGGGTGGGGAAGTTAGAGGCCATATTTAGAAGGGGCCTGAAGAAAGAGAACTAAGCATCAGGCAGGAGAGTGCATTCAGTGTGGGGGAGGTGGCCCTGCCCTCTACACAGCAGGAAAGGCTGATGGAGGCTGCTGGGCTTGGGGGCCACGCTGCTGCTGCTGCTGCTGCTGCTGCTGCTGCTGCTGCTGCTGCTGCTGCTGCTGCTGGTGCACTCCCTTGGGTCTGGGAGCCAAGGAGACTTGTGGTGAAGGGAAAACTGCTAAGTAGCCTTAGCCAGTAGCAGCACCCTATTGGGCTGTGAGAGACCCTTGCCTGCTTATGTCCACGATGGTCGAGACACAATTAGTGAGCCTCTAAGGACAACACCACTTCCTGGCACAAAACCAGACACCAACACTAGTGACTGGTGGGCAGGTGAAAGGAATATGGTATTTGGGAGGACTTCGGACTACAGGGGAGGCATGTGCAGCATGAGCCAGGCCTGGGACTTGAAGTGGGGTGAGTGGCTGTTCCCACTGCAGCCAGGGTCCTCTGGTTGTCCCCACAGGCCCTCAAGGACCTCAAGGCCCTGGGCTGCAAGAAAGCCATGAAGAAGTTCAACAGGCACACGCTCCTGGTGAGTGAGACAGGCTTGTTTCCCTATCCTGTCACGAGAGATGACAGGTCCAGGGCTCCGCAGGGAAGGGTCTGACCAGAGCCCCTGACCATTGGACAGGAGTACCTTCTTGGGGAGGGCAACCTGACCTGGCCGGCCGTGCAGCTCCTGGGAGACGTGATGTCCAAGGAGGGCTTCTTCTACCTCAGCTTCGCAGAGGCATTACGTGCCCACAGCTGCCTGAGCGACCGACTTCGGTGAGGGCACAGCGAATGGGGCAACTCACAGGAAGGGGCTTCCTGGGAGAGGCGGGACCGGAGGGGGGGCTTCCCTAAGAGCCGCACCTCAACCTGGGTGGGCGTGCTTGTTCCCTCCCTGCAGGTACAGCCGAATCGTGGGTGGCTGGGACCTGCTGCCGCGTGCACTGCTGAGTTCCTTGTCCGGCCCGGTGCTGCTGAATGCGCCCGTGGTGGGGATCACTCAGGGGATGCACGACGTACGAGTGCATATCGCCACTTCCATACAGTCGCGCAACCTGAAGGTGCTGACCGCCGACTTGGTGCTACTGACGGCCAGCGGGCCCGCGCTGCAGCGTATCACCTTCTCGCCGCCGCTGACACGCAGGAGGCAGGAGGCGCTGCGCGCGCTGCACTACGTGGCAGCCACCAAGGTTTTCCTGAGTTTCCACCGGCCCTTCTGGCACGAGGAGCACATCGAGGGCGGCCACTCCAACACAGACCGCCCAGCTCGCCTCATATTCTATCCCGCCCCGGGCGAGGGTGCTTTGCTACTGGCCTCGTACACGTGGTCGGACGCTGCAGCCCCCTTCGCTGGCCTGAGCACAGAGCAGGCCCTGCATGTGGCGCTCAATGACGTGGCGGCCCTTCATGGGCCGGTCGTGTACCGGCTGTGGGACGGCACGGGCATAGTCAAGCGCTGGGCGGAAGACCCGCACAGCCAGGGCGGCTTTGTGGTGCAGCCGCCGTTTCTGGGGAAGGGGGATGAGGACTATGACTGGTCATTCCCCTACGGCCGCATTTACTTCGCGGGCGAGCACACAGCCTATCCACATGGCTGGGTAGAGACCGCTGTCAAGTCCGCATTGCGGGCCGCGGTGAAGATCAATAACCACGAGTTCAGGGTGACCAGCCCCGAGAAGCAGCCGCATGCCAGCATCCAGAAGCAGGATCAGGAAGAGATTAGCGCGATTGAGCAGCTGCTGGAGGAAAGCCTGGCGGGGCAGGAGCCCCCACACGAAGAGACCAACCCCGAGGGACATGTGTTTGTGGAGGCCATCCCCGAGTTGCAGGGGCACGTGTTCGTGGAGACCATTCCCCAGAAGGGGCATGTGCATACACACCCGAATCCCATCCCCTCGCACGCGCACATGCATGGGGACGTTCTCCCTGAAGGGCACCTGCACCCACATCCCGTACATGGGGGACACAGGCACGGGGGATCTGGTTCCCAGAGGCACCGGCACTTAAACGGAGAGGCGGGTCACTCTTGGTGCAAAGGGGGAAGAATCACCCAGCCCCCAACCCAGCCCTCTCTAGAGCAGGCCACCCGCACTAATAGTCCACAATAAAGTTATTTTTTTGTTAAACCCAGAGGCCAGCTCGCTCCCTCCCTCCCTCTGCACTGTTTCTCTGATCTGAATATAGGTGCCCTGGGTGCGCCGGCGGACACTCGGGTGAACACTGCACTGTGGTCAAGTGGAGATCAGAAACCACTGGAGGATGAGGCGCTGACAGGTCCTGACTGGAAGAACAAACCCCCGACAGGCCTCGAGGCCAGCCTGGGCCATAAGCGAGATGGGAAAAACAAGGCTCAGTCCCACAAGAAGGGTTTATTGCCTCACACTGGCAGCTGGTGATCGGGTTTCGTGACCTCCGGGAGGGCTCTCCTCCACTTCACGGGCCTGACGTCTCCTCCTCCGTCCCTTCCCCTCGCGGGCCTCAGCACTTGGCAAACTGCGGGAACTGGTCAGGTTCAAGGGGCTAGGAGTCTGTGCCGTCGTCGTCTTCAGGCAAGATCTCTAGGCTGCTGTCAGGCTGTGCGACCACACCCTCCCGCGGCGGCTTTGGGGGCGGCAGCGGGGATGTGGGAGGAGATGGGCTACTGGGCTCTTCCGGCGGCACTAACCCCAGGACTTCCTGCACGTTGTGTGGCAGCTCCTGGGGGGTAGGGGGTCCAAGAGGCTGGGTGGGGTGGGGTCATAAGGGATGAGGGTGGGGAGGTGGGGAAGGCCTGGCGGGGGGGGGAGATGGGGTCTTAGGGCTTAAGAGGTAAGGACTCACTGGGCAGGCAGTCAGCTGCCTGTACAGGGCCTCGGCCCGCGTCAGCACGTCTTCCACGCTGAGCTTCATGGTCAGTTCATTGATATGCTGCAGGGAGTGCAGAGTAAGGTCACACCACACTCTGAGGGCAGAGGGCAGCAGCCTCGCCCCGGGATACAGGGCCCAGCTAGGGGAGGCCTTCCTGATTCCCTGGCCTGCCACAATCTTCCATAGCACTCCTTGCTAGCTCGCCTGGATGCTGGAGCAGGACAGGAGGAGCGCTCCCTGGGGAGGGGCAGTCTCCTCCACTCCACTGCTCTGTAGGTGCAGGGCTGCTAACCTGGTAGGAGGGAGGACAACAGTCCCCACCCCGCCCAGACAAAGCCATCTAGTCAACAATCCCAGGCCAGCCACACACTTGAGTGGGCACCACGCCTCAGCTTGAGAATCCCCCATTCACCTTCAGGATCTCGTTGGAGCCAAAGCCAGACAACATCAGCGTATCCCGCTCCATGTCCAAGATGGCACAGGCCACCAGCAGGTGCAGATTGGGGCCAGGAAGGCCAGTCCACAGCACCTGAGGTATCAGCGGGAGCCCTGAAGCGCCACTCCGGCCTGCCCGTCACCTCCCAGCCCCCCACCGCCATCTCACCCAGCGGGCTGCCCACCTCCCACAACCGAAGGACATCGGGGAAGGGAAATTCCCTCTTGAACCAGATGAGCAGCCACCGGAAGCAGAAGCACAGGGAACCCGAGTCCTGGGAATCTGAAGGAGGACACAGGCGGTTGGCCTTGCCCACAGGCGGTGACCAGGCCCTAGTCCAGATGACAGACATGCTGCACACACGACATCTGCTGCTATAGGACAGTGCTGCCACTGCCCTTTCCAGGGACAGGAACACATAAGACCATGTAGTACACCAAGGAAAGCAACCGTGGCCTGTGCCACAAAGATGGGCCACCATCACTCACAGAGGCACCCTGAGAACATCAGCGAGTGTGGTAACCTGGGGACAGTGGGAGTGTTACCACGGACACAGTTCCTCCAGGACAGCGTGAGCGAGGACCTTGCCTAGATTATTAGTGGCCAGAATATCTAGCAGGTGAGTGAGACCAGTCTCAGGCCACCCTGCAAGTGCAGCAGACAGAACTCTGTGCCCAGGAACAGCTGGGTTTCAGGAGACTGCATGACAGACAGAAGCAGCTGTCTCCCTATGCCCAGAAAGAGACATGCACATGTAAGGCTTCCCTGTCAGCATGGCCCCAGTTTCCTCAAGGACACACCCAGGTCTCATGTAGCTCAGGCTGGCTTCAAATTCACTATGTAGCTTCTGAGCCTCCTGCTCCTACCTCCTCCATGCTGAGGCTACTGGTGTGCACCACCTGCCCACGTTTCTGTAGCGCTGGTGATCAAACCCAGGGCCTCGTGCATGTTAGGCAGGAACCCTACCAACTGAGCCACGGCCCCGTTAGCACTTCTCATGTTAAAAAAGCAACAAGGAACTCACAGCTAGAACGCAGTGGCCCCAGCTGAGAGGCCAGAGAAACCTCACCTGGCCTACAGCGGGCAGGCTTACCCATCCCCCTAAGCTTTGAATGTCAGGTCACTTGGGATGTTTTTCTTATTCAGATGGTCACACACAGGACCTACCCAGGAAGTCACAGAGAGGCTGATCCAGTACCCGAAGAAGCAGCAAGAGCTGCCCCAGCTGCCGCTTCATAGTCTCCTGACTCTCTTCAAAGTTCCCGTGCTAAGGAGTGGGAGGAAGCGTGAGGACTGACTGGACACCTCAGCAGCTGTCCCCGACCCTCCCTCCCTCACCCTGCGCCTCACCACAAGTTCCATGAAGCCACAGAAACACCAGAAGGCATCCACTTCATTCTGAACAACGAAGAGGATTGGGGACAGGAGGTCACTCATGCCCTGAACATAGCCTGGGGGAACACAGGGTCAGCTGCAACACCTTGAGCACCCAAGGCTCCGACCCCCCCACCCCATCAGTGCAGCACTCACCCAAGTCGAAGTGGTACATGCAGTAGGTTAGGAGGATGTCATTGAGCAGGCCCAGCCCCGGGTTCTCAGGGCCTTCGTAGAATTTGTTAGTCCTGTCGGTGCGGCTTACATCTCTCTCTGTGGGGTCCCAACCATGTAGGAACATGAGAAAGGTTAGCTGGCTGGTCACAGGTCCCAGCCCTGCTCTCCTGCATGCTGGAGTGAGGATGCCGCCCCCCAAAACCACACAATCTCCCAGTGAGAGCCCACAAGGTGCCAGGACCTCTTCCCCTGTCCTGCCGTCCCTGCTGCAGCTCACCCCCACCACCCAACTCCCACCCAACGGCCTCCTCTTGCCCCCACCCACCAATGAGGCTCCGGTATCCATGCAGCAGAGAGTTCCTCCGTTCCTGCTCGGAACTCACAGATTTCCACTGCAGCTTCATTCGGAAGTACTCATCCCTGGGGAAGAGGGACAAGAAGCCACGGCCCCCGCTAGCTCAGCACCCAGGGAACCCCTGGAGAAACACCTGCCCACACCATGGCTCCCCAAGCTCTGCCCCGCCCACCTGGGCCCTGCCTCTCCCCTGATGTTTCTCCACACAGAACACCCGATGGGCTTCTGGTAGCATCCGTCACCACCGCTCCCTCTGACGGAAAAGCATGTTCAGGGGCACTGAGGCACCCTCAGGTCTTCACAAGGGTCCGACATGGCAGGTGCATGACGCCCACAGAAAGGCGCTGACAGCCACTGCAAACTGTAGGAACTAGCGTATAGCAGCAGACTGAAAAGGAGGCAGCCACTCGAGAACGAGGCTGTTCGCTGCATACAGTGCCTTCAAACCAGCATATGTGGAAGAAGCCTTAGGAGAGCTCACACTAGTCCTACAAAACTGCGGGAGTCAAGCCCAAGCCTCAGGACAGAGATGTCTAACGGGGCGGGGCTGCGCTGTCTCACTCACGTTTTCTTCCGCACGTGGGCTTTGTGTTCTTCAGCTGAACCCTCCCAGCTGAGGTACCCCAGGAGGAACTTCCAAGCCTCCCGCCGCAGGCCAGGGCTGAGACCCTGGGGTGCAATGGATAAACAGCTCAGGGGCTTCCTCCTGGCCAGCTGTCAGCTCACCCTAGCCGATATCCACTGACACTTACGCCTGAGAAGATCCGAGTTTTCAGCTCAGGGATATTCTGGAGGCGACCATCGGGACCCACATGGCGGGCCCATTCTTCCTCTGAGACTGGAGGAGCCCGCACCACCTCAGGACGCTGCCCCAGCTCCACCTGCAGGACACAGCACAGGGGAGCCCCAAGCACAAACAGTACCAAGCCCTCCTGGACTGGAGGAACCCTAAAGACCAGGGGTCAGCAGGAAACTTCCAGAAAAGAAGAGCTGAGAAGAGCAGCAGCCAAGGTCAGGCCTGAGGCAAGAGGCGAGATCATGAAGCCCGAGGCCGGGCTGGAAATGGAGACACCTAGTCTCAGACACCACAAATGGTTGGGAACCTAGTTCAGAAGGGGAGTGCTGTCTCGGTCACCAGTGAGGGGCTGGGGGCATGGCTCAGTGGTAGAGAACTGCCTAGCATGTAAGAACCCTTGGGTCGGATGGGTCCTCAGCACAAAAACCATCCACCAGGTACACCAGTTCCTGTGAAATCACTTCCTACGCGGTTCCAGATACTGTTTTCACGTTACTAACGTGCTGTGGAATACTATTTTAACTAGGCAGAAATGTGCAGCATTTGTTTATGCTGCAGAATATTACTTTCACTATGTGAGAATGAGTTATTTTTGCTTCTGCTGCATTTGTTTTAAACATGTAAGGATGTGTGTTTAATTATGCTACATTTGTTTTACCTAAGGCACTTGATTGGCCAAAGAGCTAAATGGCCAATAGCTAGGAGGGGCTGCCAGTCAGAGAGAATAAATATGAGGAGAAATCTCGGCTAGGGAGGAGAACTGAGGAGGGACATGCCTGGGGAAGAGGCCAGCGAAAGTAAGAAAGGGAATAAGCCCCGAGGCAAAGGTAGATAGAGAGAAACAGGTTAATTTAAAAGAGCTAGCCAGAAGCTTGCCTAGGCTAGGCTGAGCTTTCAGTACTAATTAAGTCTCTATGTCATGATTTGGAGGCTGCTTGGTGGCCCAAAAGAAAAAGCCTGTATACCAAGAAGAAAACTGAGTCCTTGAAGTCATATGCCAGTGTGGTGCAACAGAAACTCCAAAACAGGGTTGCTTGACACTTACGCAGGAGATGACCTCAAAGCCAGGCTCGGGCTCATCATCGGGCAGCAGAGGCAGGTCAGGGGAGGAGGCTCCCTCAGGGTGCGGCTGTAGGGCTCCCCGGAAGAAGTTGGTCACTCGAGAGAAGCTACTGAAGGTGGTGGAGTAGGGGTCCTGGAGGAAGCGCTGGGGATAGGCGACAAGTGTCAGAGCTGCCCCCAGATCTTCCCCCTCATACCCACGGACGCCCTGCCCTGGCTCTGGGACACTCACTGACACCACACTGGAGCTGTCCTGGTCAAAGAGTTGCAGGTGATGGATGGAGTTGGAGAGCGCAGAGGAGTCGTGGGGGAAGACCAAGTAGAGGCGGGGGTCCTGCGGAGAGCTGGGAGGGCGGGCACACAGGAGGCCTTTATGTACTGGGCTAGCCTGGCCATACTTGCTCTAGGTGCTACAGTCCCTTTCTCCTTCACCAAAATGGTACTGCATGGAAAGGCTCCAGCTCAGAGCTGGGCCTGGGAGGCCAATAAGACTTTTGCATTTGGGGAAGAGCCAATGAGCGGCTTTGTGGGAATGAAGAGACACCTCCTACACACCAGGAGACTTATGGCTGAACCTCCATTGCACAGGGCGTTTCTTCCCTCCCGGCCCTCACTCTCAGGCTCAGGTAGCCTACACTGGCCTTGAACCCTGCACCTCCTGTCACAGCACTCCAAACACTGGGACCGTGAGTGCACAGGCCTGGGTCTTTTAACGCCTCTCCACTAGAACTGAGCTTTGCTCGAGGTCCTGGAGACCCCAGCTACAGCTGCAGAGGGCATGCTGGCTGGCCCACAGGCTCAACGCAGGGGCAGGCAGAGGCTTACCTGGCCAACAGCAGGTAGCGGTTGAGGACCCGGAGCAAAGCTCGGGTACCTCCTCTGTGGAAATGCAAGGCAGGTAGAGAGCCCCCGGCCTGCGTCACCAAGACCAGGTAGGCCCAGCTGAGGCCTGGCTTGGACCTGCGGATGGACTTGAGCTCCCCCAGGCTCACAGAGAAGGCCCAGGAGCTCCGGGGGCAGCTGGGTTCTGCACCTAGGAGAAAGCAATGCATTGCTGGTGCAGCTGAGGGGTAATGGGTAGGGCAGGCCCACGCAGTGTGCTCTCTCTGCAGCACCGCCTTCTGAAGCCTCCGTGGAAGCTGCCCTCCACCAGGCCTCTGAGAACTCTGGGCTGCCTGGCATTTCCTTAGAAGCAAAACTGCCTAAAATTAGAAAGAAGCCGGGTGGACATGTGTTTGTACCAGAACATTCCAGAATCTTTCCAGGCTTTCCTCAGTTTCCAGTTTGAAGACTGTATCCTTTGTCCCTAGTCTCCCGGCTATCTCACCTCTCATGCCCTCTTGGCTCCAGATCCTACTTGAGCCTCAGCACACGAGGGAGGCTGAGCACAGGGCCCGCACCTTTAATCTTAGTACTTGGCAGGAGGAGGCAGGCAGATCTCTGAGTTCAAGGCCAGCTAAGGATACATAGCGAGACCATGTCTCGAAAGAAAGAAAGAAAGAAAGAAAGAAAGGGAGAAAGAAAATGGCCCTGTGACTAGCCGCCTGTTAGCTCTTCCACAACCCACAAGTCTAGAAATAGGAGAATTCAGGGTACACCTAGAGCCAAGCCATTCTTTCCCAGGCCAGAAAGGAAGCATCTGGAAGCTACCTTGACTGTGGTGACAAAGTCTTGGAGCCATGACATGGTCCACCAGACCACTGTGACACGGTTCTACCTACCTCTCCTGGGCTCTGCCAGGTGGGGCCGTGGCCGAACTGTGCTAATGACAGCCCAGTCAGGTTCATAGCCTGGGTCAAAGGTAGGTTCCTCCTCTGTGGTGCCCGGCTCGCCCCCAATTGAGTCCTTGGGAGAAGAGATAATGAATGGAGAGCTGTGGTCTCAAGGTTTCCAGCTTGCAGCCTGAAAGCCCCAACCGAGATAGCAGAGCTTCAGAACAAGGAGGGAACCAGGTGGAAGGGGGCAGGAAGCTTGCTCAGTGCCACCCACGGTGGCTGAGGAAGAGCCAGGCTACACCTGAGGCCACAGCACCAAAGTCAGTGAGACTTCGGGGACAGGGACAGGGCCATCGGTACGCAGTCTCGGCACGCTGCACGCTTGCCCAGGTTCCCCTCATCTCTTTGACTTTTCACTGTAAGTGAATGGAGAGCAGTATGTGGCGGCCACCGTCACTGTGACTAGCAGTGAGTCTATGGGTGCACTGCTGAGGACAGTCCCGTGATGGACAGAAGCGACCCTGTAGAGCAGGGTCAGCCAGACGGCTTGGCAGCCAGGATGGATGACCCGAGTTCAGCACACAGAACCCACCAGGAGGAAAGAATGACTCCTCCAAGCAGTGAACACATGAATAAGTAAATAAATAAGGCCCGAGAGAGTTTAGTGGTTAGCAGGGCTTGCCGCACAATCACAAAGACCGCAGAGCTCAGCACCGGGTTTCCAGCATGTATCTGCACTGCCATCTTCTGGCTTCTGCGTGCACCTACAGGCAGCGCGCAGACATGCACTCACCCCACACAAGCTGGCTCAGCGCTTGCCGCCAGGCCAGACAAAGTGAGTTCAATCCCTGGGCCCACTCAGTGAAAGGAGAGAAACTGCTTCTACAGGTCATCCTCTGACTTGCACACACACACGCACACACACACACACCACACACACACACACACACACCACGGAGGGGGGGGCGGGAGGATAGAGAAAATAAATGCAGTAAAGAAACATAAAGCAACCATAGGGAAAGCCCAGCTGCCTCAGACCAAACCCAGGCTACACCCCTTAAGAAACGGGAATCCAGTCTTTCACCCAACCCAACAGGGCTCCCCAAGCAGCCATGAGAACAGGACATCAGATCACTTCACAAAGCAAACAGGCTCACAGGTCCCCGAGGTCCCCCGCCTTCCTCTTGAGCGGTGAAGGGAAGCGCGGTGCCTACCTTCTTGGAGAAGAGGATCTGGGTCGGGTCTCCAGCCTCCTCCACCGGAGCCCAGTGCAGGACGACGTCGCTGTCCTGAGGGACGTGTGGAGGACTTAGTAAAGTCTCCCGACTGCCCTCAGCCATCAACCCGAAGCTCCTACAGATGCCACCTCCATCCCGGCTCACCTTCTCCACCACACGGATGACACCCGCGATGAGAGAGTCCGGGTCCTGGTGCTTCCTGGCACTGGTGTGCAGGTATACGCCTCCCTTCTCAAACACCACCTAGGAGCGGGCATGGTGAGAGCCAGGGTCTAGGAAGGAGCATTCCCAGGAGTGGGGTCCAAAGACCCTGACAGACGGCAAGGATGGGGCGTGCCAAACTTACAGGTCCGCACCGCGATCGGATTGGGCTTGCGTTTCCCCAAGGGGAGGGGCTAGGGTAGAATCTACCTATCGACCGTGAGGAGCGACGGCGTCTTTGCCAGGAAACGGCGCTGGCTGAGTTAGCTCTGCACCGCCAAGGTGGAAGCCGGCCATCGCGGGGGTGTCGCCTATAGACAGGCGAGGGAATGAGTTCCGAAGTCTTACCCTGTAGCTGGATCCTTCCATAGCCACCGCGGAGGTTCCACTGCGCCGATCTCCTCCTTTTCCGGGCCAATGTGGTGTCACATCCGGAAAGAACCCTCCCTTCCAGGCCAGATAGTGGTAGCGCCCCTAAAGCTGTAGAGCTGCAATGGGTGAGACCATCTATCTGAACAGGGTAGAAGAAATGCGAAGACCCACATCACGTGGTGTAGACAGTAATGTTGGCAAGGGTCACGAGACGGCGCAGGCGCAGTGTACTACTCTCTCCTCGAAGTAAACAAGTAGGAGGACCCACGATCTCTGTCCATCAACTCGTGATCCAGGGAACGCCTCCTTGGCTCTCTCCATATTTTATACTGGCATCGAAGCCAATATTGTGCCATTTTCCTGGCGGGCAAGCCACGGCGGCGCGGCGGGAGCCATGTTAATGCGGGGCACCACCATCTCTTTGCGGGGCGGGACGGCGAGGTGTCGGAATAGCGGAACAAAGGAAAAGGTGAGAGGAGCTGTGTAGCGCCGGAGGTGGCGAGGGGCTCGGGATTAGTGGCGAAGGCGTCGGGCCCCTGGAAACGATGTCCCCTAAATTTCTGAGTCACCGTGGAAAGAGGGCTGAGCCACCATTTTTAAGCTGGGCAACCGAAGCAAGATATGCTACCATATTGAATCCTTGCCAGCTTTGTGCTGAAGAGCGGGGGTGGGGGAAGCTGGCGGAGGCAGAGTCCACATGCTTTATAGGCATCTGAAGCCATACTGACTACCGTCGGGACGCTTGCCTTCGCTTATCGTCACGTGTGAGCATGGGCAAACTGGAATGGCGTAGCTGAAGTCGTTTGCCATCTTTTCCACGAGCCCCCCACCGTTGTCACTGCTCACCGCTTGTAGAAGAAGCTTCTGGTTGCTATTTTGATTTGGGGCATCCAGGATAAGGGAGGCGGAGTGTACACAATGGAGGAGGGGCAACTGCACGGAAGTGACGTAAGAAGCCGCCATGCCTTTTGAGGGCGGCGACGGCGCCTGGCCGGCCATGCTGGCTACGGGCACGTGAGTGGAGGCGGCGTTGTGAGCTGGGGTTTAGGGAGGACCTGGCTTTCCTTAGGTTGAGGGGCAGTGGGAGGGCGTGCGGCCTTGGGAAGGGTACGGCCTGCGTAGGTCAGGGGGCAGTGATCACCTTGTGACCCTTGGCTGAGTGCTGAAATGGCTAACGCTCAACCCCTCGTGTCTGACTCGCGACGATTGCTAAACCAGCTCGACTTCGGTGGTGCAAACGGGCTGGGACCCTCACATTGACGGTGAACCACGTCCCTGCGGCTGTGTTTGGGGGGGTCGCTGGTGGGTGAGGGGTGCCCCTGGGCGGGACTTCCGGTCGTATCCTCACCCGGGGCGGGATTTCCTGTTTTCTTCCTAGAGAAGGGGCCTGGCTGGGCCGCGGGCGTGGTTCTGCCCCCGGGCCGCAGCCTCTGGTGGTGGGAGCCTCCTCCGTCCTCTGCGTCCCGTGCTCCAGCCGTTTCCTTCCCTGTCTCCCGTCACACCTGTCCTGGGAGGCCTGCACCTTCCCGCTGGGCAGCTCCCCCTTGCTGGTCTGCCCCTGAGTCGCACCTCATAGGCCACAGGCCTAGGAGGTCCGAGTAAGTCGCCCTCCTTTGAGCCGCCTTCAAAAGCCACTCACCGGGTTTTCACACCGCTACTGGAGCTAGCCCCGAGAAAGAGTGCAGAGGAACTGGGTCCTAGCATCCCTGCTCTCCTGTGCTCAGAGAAGTGAGAACCCAGCCTAGTAGCATCCCAGTTGTGGCATCTTGGACTAGCCATCTGTCTTGCCCTGATCCTTATGTTTCCAGTCTCCCTCATCAACTAAGGAAGGCGGGAGACGTGGGCAGGAGTCACTCTGCCTCCTACAGCTGTGGGTAGGCCTTGAGGCTCAGCAGCCGGCATAACCGCTACAGCTCATCCCTGTGTGTAGCGGGTGTCTGCAGCTTCCTTCTTCTCCATGGAAAGATGGGGAGGGGAGTGTAGTCTCTGGAAGCAGTCTGGGTTGGAGCTCAGGATTAGTAGAGGACTCCAGACACAGACCGCCCGTGTCAGTGGTTAGTCCAGCTGGCTAGTCCAGCTGGCGGAACACTCAGGATCCACTCTGTGGGAGTTTGGAAGTGCAGTGGCCACTGCTGCTTCGTACTCTAGGAAGTGCGAGGTTGGTCCAGCGTGTGGCCAGCTCTCACCTCAGTGAGTCAGGCTGGATTTTTGAGTGTGAGTGACAGAAGAGCTTGCAAACTGCCTTCAGATTTCAGGTTCTCTTTGCTGCTGTCCTAGTGGACCTGAAGCCCTCCAGTGGTGAGGTGCACACTCTGTCTCAAGGAGGGTCCTCAGCTGTCCACACACTCTGGTTAGTGGGGAAGAGACACACAGTGGCCCATGGTCACACGACAGGTCATTCGTGTGGGGACCGGGTTCCTTGCCCTCCAGGAGTTCCCCATGTGGTGGGAAAGCGGGCAGCAGACTAACTATCCCAGCACTACAAGCTTTACAGAGCCCTAAACAGCAGGGACTGAGGAAATGTAAAAGCCAGTGGTGAGACTCTGAGCACAGAGCAGCTGGGTTCTCCTTTGCCCACCTTCAGCCCAGAGCTAGGCCCCGTCCTAAGAGAGTGACCCTAGCCAGGCAGTAGTGGCGCACACCTTTAATCCCAGCACTCGGGAGGCAGAGGCAGGCGGATCTCTGTTGAGTTCGAAACCAGCCTGGTCTACAGAGCGAGTTCCAGGAGAGGCTCTGTCTCGAAAAACCAAGAGAGTGACCCTGAAAGCCCAACAGGAGGAGCGGGGGACATCTCCCTCACCAAATGACCTGAAGGCCAGTGAGCTGACTGGCATCCATCTATCTGGTCCTAGAAACTCTGGAGGGCGGAGCTCCACTGTAGTGAAGAGGACCTGTTGGACAAGTGAGGGACGGTGGTCTAGCAGCGGCCAGGGCGCTGTGCTGCAGAGACTGAGGAAGTCACCTGTGGCTTTCATTGAGACCTGTCTCTGTGTCTGAGGCTGATCAAAGCCCCGACAGTCCTGCCTCAGCCCCTGAGTGTTGTGATTTCAGGCTCACATGTACTAACGCCTCACATGCCGTGGAGAATGTGAGTCTTCACAGACTCATCAGGCTGGGTGTGTGGTGCCCCGCACCTCTCATCCCCGCTCCTTGGGTGGAGGAGGAAGGAGGGTTGCTAAGACTGCGTACCAGCCCTGCCCTAAAGGCGGACAGACCGGTGCAGCTTAGTTAGTGTTTGCCTACACTCATCAAGTCCAGCGCCACATAAACCAGGTGTGGGGTGTGCATGTGCAACCCCAGCACTCAGGACCTCAAAGTCACCTTTATCCACATAGTGAATTTGTGACCCGCCACAGTACGTCAGACCCTGGCTCAAAAAAAAATAGGAAGAACCCAAGCTGACATAACCATAAACCAGCTTGCCTACAGTGCTCATGGTCAACAAAGATGAAGACTCTTGTGTGGAACAGGATGGGGTCACGAGGAAACCGAGGGCTGACTTGATGGTGGCTAGCACAGGTCCAGGGGAGGCCGGTTTGGGAAAGGGGTGGAGCTCAGCTGGGACAGGTGCATGCCGAGGGGCAGTCAGCCCTCAGGGTGGGGAGGGGAGGGGTGGCAGCAGCAGCGCCGCCTCAGCCTCTGTCCTGCTCTGGCCCACAGGGCGCGGATGGCGTCTGGACGGCCAGAAGAACTGTGGGATGCCGTCGTGGGGGCCGCCGAGCGCTTCCGGGCCCGCACTGGCACAGAGCTGGTGTTGCTGACTGCAGCGCCACCACCGCCACCCCGCCCAGGGCCCTGTGCCTATGCCGCCCATGGCCGCGGGGCCCTGGCGGAGGCCGCCCGCCGCTGCCTCCACGACATCGCACAGGCACACAGGGCTGCTACTGCCACCCGACCTGGTCCCCCCCCAGCACCGCAGCCGCTCAGCCCTGCTTCCAGCCCTCCACCTCAGCCAGCCCTGGCCAAGGATGATGAGGAGGAGGAGGAGGATGAACCCACCGAGACGGAGACTTCTGGGGAGCGGCTGGGCGGTAGCGATAATGGAGGTGAGCTGGGGGGTTGGTGCAGGGATGGGATTGGTGGATGCTTGTCCTAACGCATCCTTACCACAGCACCGTGTTGGACAGACGTCCCCTTGCGGGCCTCTGGTCTGGCCAAGGAACTGGAGCATGGTTCTCTGAGAGATGCAGGTGTCTCTGGGAAGGAAGGGGAGCGGCTGCTGGCCCTTTCGTGAAGGGTGGAGAAGTTTGCCAGGACCAGAGGAAGCTCCAGGCACTCTTTCTTTACATGGCGTGTTCGACTCAGGCATGTCCATGTACTATGGAGTCCCACTTTGGGCACTGGATTTAGAGACTACTGTAACCACAGGGCTTTGAGGGTGAGTAGGCGCTACTCATTTGCTATCATTGCCCACTGCTGGCCTCCTCATCCTTCCTGAAGAAACCAGCATGTCACCAAGACTATGAGCTCTGAGCCGGGCGGTGGTGGCGCACGCCTTTAATCCCAGCACTCGGGAGGCAGAGGCAGGCGGATCTCTGTGAGTTCGAGACCAGCCTGGTCTACAGAGCAAATTCCAGGACATGGTCCAAAACAATACAGAGAAACCCTGCCTCGAAAAACCAAAAAAAAAAAAAAGAGAGAGAGAGAGAGAGTATGAGCTCTGGAGCCAGGTGGTATGGCCACAGGGTCTTTCGTTTGTTCCCACCTTTTTTTTTTTTTTAACTATTTTGGTATACATTGTCCCAAGCAGATCTTAAAAGGGGTTCTGTGTTGAAGACTGTAGTGGGCACCTGATATGGAATGGGCCTGAGTGACCAGACAGTAAATGGAGTGTTGAGGCACAGGGACCAACTGCAGGACCTGTCCCACTCACAGGACTCTTCATGATGGATGAGGATGCCACTCTCCAGGACCTGCCCCCCTTCTGCGAGTCAGACCCGGAGAGCACAGATGGTGAGGATCCTGGGTTGTCCAAGCCTTAGGAGGCCAGGCTGAGGGGAGGGGGACGGCAGCTGAAGTCCCCCTGTGTCACAGACGGCAGCTTGAGTGAGGAGACCCCGGCCGGTCCCCCCGCCTGTCCCAAGCCCCCGGCTGCAGCCCTGCCCACCCAGCAGTACGCCAAGTCTCTACCCGTGTCGGTGCCAGTGTGGGCCTTCAGGGAGAAGAGGACGGAGGCGCGATCGTCGGATGAGGAGAACGGCCCGGTGAGGGGGACAAGACAGGCGGATGGCCCAGAGTGGCGTCCTGCAGGGAGACTCCACTGCACTTTAGGAAGAAGGACCCTTGTTTGCTCAATATTTTTGGTGGGAGGGGTCAGGTAGGGAAACAGCTCAAGGTCAAATTAGTGCCCAATATTCCTTTCTCCCAACACCATTCCGTGTGGCCCTCAGGCTGTGCTGGCCTGATGTGTCCTTCACAGAAAACTCCCTGAGGCAGAGGGGAAAACAAGGCACTGAGAGGGGGACACATGACTTCCTCCCTGTGTGACGCCCCGCGGGGTCCGGCCGGGGACCTTGGCACCCGAGCCCCTGTTCCTTGGCAGGGCCTCGGAGAGGGTGGTGGGAATCGGAGTGTTGGGGCCTTAGCCTGCTGGACCATCGGGCAGGAGGGCTTCCGGGAGGTGGCGCCTGCGCCCTGAGTCACCGAGCGGGTGCTCCCTCCGCAGCCCTCCTCGCCCGACCTGGATCGAATCGCCGCTAGCATGAGGGCACTGGTGCTGCGGGAGGCGGAGGACACCCAGGTCTTCGGGGACCTGCCGCGGCCGCGGCTCAACACCAGCGACTTCCAGAAGCTGAAGCGGAAATACTGAGCGGGCAGAGAAAGGCGGCTGTCCGCTCTGGCATTGGGTTTTCGAGCCTGTCTCTGCCCAGCGACGGGACAATTCTTTATGGGGCCGGCTCGCTCCGGTTTGGAGTGGGGCTAGTTTTAAATCGCTCAGTGGGTCAACTCCGTTTCTTGCCTAGCAACAGAAGCTTTACCCGCATATCCTTGGCTCGTTGCCCAGGCGCGGGGCGCAGCTGCGGACCCAGGTGGTGGCCCCGCCGATGTCCGGAGAGTGGCAGGCCGCCCTTCTTGAACTCCCCCATCCGATTGGCCCTGGCCGCCTGGGGGCGTGGCCAAGCCCTCCCGAACCCAGAATTGGTCCGAGGCCTTGAGTTTGTTACACTACTAGGGCTGGGTTTTTGTTGTTTGTTTTTTTGACACTTGTATCCGGTTCCCCACGGGGATAGTCCGGTCCTGCTTTTTTGCGTCTGACGCCCCCATAGGTTCCACCCAACTACAGCCTGTCTATCAAAGTCTGTCCTGTACCCAGGACAGTACCAGCTTCCTGTTCCCCGACCCAAACAGGTGCCTTAAAGGGCCCTCTCCCACCCATGGTAGGGGGCAGGGGGCTTCACTCTCCGGCTCTGGTCCCGGGTGCGGGAGAGTAGGGTGGGGGCCAGGACTCGGGAGGGGCGCTCTGAGATTAAAGTTCAACTCTAATGAGTGTGGTATACTGTGTGTGGATGTTACTCTGGGGCTCTTGCTCAAAGAGTTCGGGTTTGAGTCAGCATTCTCAGCTAGTTAAGGTGAAAATCTGGTTTTCAGAAGCATGATGCTGGGAGTAGGTGGAAAGCCAGGCCGGGAACATCCATCTCTCACTGTTTGAAGGGCAGGGGTGAGTGTGGGCTGTGGGTTACCTTCAAACTAGTCATGAGTCGACTCCCTTTCATTGCTTCTTTTGAGGCAGTTTCACTTCGTGGCCCGTACTGCATCCTTAGTCTTGATGCAGGGTTTCCCACCTACCCCAGCATGCCCAGCTTTAGTGCATTTGCCCCAGGGGGTGGGAATGAGCATTCCATTTTACAGCAGAGCCCAGCATCATCGACGCAGAGGCAGAGCGATGGGACCACAGGCTTCGAATGCGAGGGACAAATGCCGGGTTTTCTCACTGTCTCAGAGTGTAGGCTTGCCTGGTGGTGCACACCTGACCTTCAAGCAACACGGAGATCGATTTAGTCACAGGAGTTAATGTCAACCCTGCCTCAAAGAACAAACCAAAGCTAGGCATGGATGGTAGCACCCACTTTTAATCCCAGGACTTGGGAGGTAGAAGTAGGTGTGACTACTTCAAGGCCAGCCTGATTTGCAGAGCAAGTTCCAGGATACCCAAGGCTACACAGAAAAATGCCTTATCAAAAAGGAAACAAAAGCCGGGCGTTGGTGGCGCACGCCTTTAATCCCAGCACTCGGGAGGCAGAGGTAGGAGGATCTCTGTGAGTTCGAGGCCAGCCTGGTCTACAGAGTGAGTTCCAGGACAGCCTCCAAAACAATACAGAGAAACTTTGTCTCGAAAAACCAAAAAAAAAACAAAAAAAAAAAAAAAAAAAAACGCCACCACTGGTCAGGTGTGGTGGCACGTGCTTTTTTTGTTTGTTTGTTTGTTTTGTTTTTTTTTTTTTTGTTCTTCGAGGCAGGGTTTCTCTGTATTGTTTTGGACCATGTCCTGGAATTTGCTCTGTAGACCAGGCTGGTCTCGAACTCACAGAGATCCGCCTGCCTCTGCCTCCCGAGTGCTGGGATTAAAGGCGTGCGCCACCAACGCCCGGCTTGGTTTTGTTTTTCTAAACAGGGTTTATCTGTGTATTTTTGACTTGACTGTCCAGAAGCTCCACTGTGGAACAAGTTGATTCTGAACTCAGATCTGCCTGCCTCTGCTTCCCAAATGCTGATATTTTTTTAAAGATTTTTATTTATTATTATTAATTCACTACAGGTGGTTGTTGGGTGGGAATTGAACTCAGGACCTCTGGAAGAGCATTCAGTGCTCTTAACCTCTGAGCCACCTCTCCAGCCCCGGAATACTGATATTAAAAGCAAGCGCTATCGCTAGGTGGTGGCGGCCCATGCCTTTAATGCCAGCATTCTGGAGGCAGGCAGATCTCTCAAGTTCGAGACCAGCTAGGGTGTTGTGGAATAATATCCAAGCCTAAAAATTCGTCTGTGCTGAAGATAAGCCCAATTGGGCTCGTTGACAGCAAATTTTGCCAATAGAGGCAGGGGGCAAGGAAGGTCATGGGACCTTCACCCTGGTTCCCTGCTCTTCCTCACAAGCAGCTATGTGGCTGTGGCCTAGGCTAGAAAAGAGGCAAGGCAGAAGTAGGGGGGACTGCAGTGCGGGGTGGGTGTGGCCTCTGCAGGTAAGTGACCGCTCACCTATCCCACCTCTGCCCTGCAGGCCCGGGAAGTGATCTCTGATGGGATCGTATTTCCGTTTATCTTTCAGATGTAGAAGGGTCGACATTGTGACATTGTTTAGGTCTTCCCCTGAGAAGCAACTGTAGCCCTGGCTGACCTGGAGCTTGTCATGTAGACCAGGCTGGCCTCAAACTCAGGAGATCCGCTTGCTTCTGCCTCCTGAGTGCTGGGATTAGACAGGTGTGCCACACTACACTCGGGAAATAATTTTAACCACACGGCCACATCCTGAGACCCGATCTCACCAAAACAGAACAAAACCAAGTAATTGCAGTGCAGGGACCTAGTGCCCACAGACCCAAACGCCCCCATCATCCGGGGCACTATGAGCCGCATGCTTGCGGGTCAGGAGCGGCGCATGCACTATGGGAGGAGCCAAACCTTCCGGCAGTCTTTCCCACAACAGTGGTGAGTTTTGGAATGAATTCCGAAGTGACCTCAACCGTAAGCCATACTCTCTAGCTACTTATTGGAACTGCTGTGGTAGCCTGGGAAACGTTAGGCCCGCCCATGGGCAAGGGGCGGGTTTCCGGAGCGGCTCTAGTGGGAAGGCAGGACTTCCGGTAGCGGACCGTAGCTGGCTGCCAAGCGAGCTCGGCGGTGACTCCGTTCGCCTTCGCCACATCCCGGGATGTCACAGCTGGGATCCCGGGGCCGCTTTTGGCTGCAGAGTCCCGCCGGGGGACCGCCCCCTATATTCCTGCCGTCGGATGGCCAAGCCCTGGTCCTCGGTCGGGGACCCCTGACCCAGGTGACGGACCGGAAGTGCTCCCGAAATCAAGGTGGGCGCGGGAGTGAAACTGCGGCAGCGAGAGCTGCAGGGAAGCTGGTGCCTGACCAGGAGTTAGACAGGGCTTTCGGGGAGGGACAGAGCGGGTCCGGGAAACTGTCACCGGATGGAGGAGGACGCTCACAGCAGAGAGACGGTCTCTGGGCAGGATCTATCAGGCCGTGCCCAAGACCTGATCTACTCAGTGTGTCTTATGGAGCAAGCCGACCCTACAGATTAAAAACAAAACAAAGCCTACCCTGGGCAACCCTCGGGTCTCTGACAGTCTTAAGGACTCTGGCCCCAGCAAATGTAGGTCCTGGTCCTATCGAGAAATAAACTGTTTTGGGCCGGGGGGTGACACACCTGTTATCCACGCACTTGGATGGTAGAAGTTTAAGGCCAGCCACCAGTGTGTGGCGACTTGTAGGCTATCCTGGGCTACTTGAGACCAGTGTTGGAGGGAGGAAAGTGTCTTTTCCTCCAAAGTGCAAGATGAACTCTGTAGCTGGCCACGCCCCTTACGTGATGTAAACCCTGACTCCATCCCCTTACCCTCAGTGGAGCTGATTGCAGACCCTGAGACCCGGACAGTGGCAGTGAAACAGGTACCAGTTCTCAGCAACGGGTAGCAAGGACTTTGGGTAAGGGGTTGAGGTGGATTGCAACCCTTCAGAAGGTTGGTAGGTACTCCCTTTTCCACTGTGCCAGACTGGACGCCTGTGACCTTTCCAAGTTCTCATTAGCAGCACAAAATGAATAGGTGGGAGATTAAAGGTCTGATGGGAGATGGGGTATTGGAATTGGTGGGAGGCAGGTGTTCCTGAGGAGTTGGAGCCGACCCTAGTTCCTCCTTTCTCTGCAGCTGGGTGTTAACCCATCAACTGTTGGGGTCCAGGAGTTGAAGCCAGGGTTGTCAGGCTCTCTAAGCTTGGGGGACAGCCTGTATCTGGTCAATGGCCTATACCCCCTGACCCTGCATTGGGAAGAGATTAGCACATCGGGACCCCAGCCAGATACTCCACCGTGCACTCCTCCGGGGGACCCAGCAGACGGGGAGGATGCTGAGCCTCAGAAAAAGCGGCAACGGAAATCATCCCCTGGCTGGGAGAACTTAAAGAAGTTGCTGGTGTTCACGGCTTCTGGGGTAAAGCCTCGGGGCAAGGTGAGGCCATTTAATGCAGACTTTGCTGTGCAACCCTGGGTTAGTCTTACCAAAGCCTCTGAGCCTCAGCTGTTTGCTGTGAGCTGAACTGAGCTGCAGGAGACAGATCAGGCCCTGTAACAGTGATGATCAGACCTTCTTTGGATGTGTTTATGGGCCACTCTGAAATGATTAGGCCACAGAAAGTGTGGGGTCTAGTCCCTGGTTGGGCACTCAGCCAACAAACAGTGAGCTTTAATTTTAAATGTTTACTCGTTTGTTTATGTGAGCCTGCATGATTTTATGTGTACCACATGCACACCGATACCTGCAGAGCCCCAGAACATTGGGTTCCCTAGAGCTGGAGTTACAGGCAGTTGTGAGCCCCTGGTGTGTGTGCTCTTAACCACTGAGCCGTCTTTCCAGCTCCTCCAACAAAGACGTTTGCTTTCTGCGCTGATAATCTTCCAAAGAGATGCCCAGGGAAAAGGGGAGGGTGAGACACGGATCTCCGTTAAAGACTGGAAAGGGGATCAGAGGACACAGGATCATTGAGGCACTGCTTCCCTACCTCAGCCATGCACACCCTGGGACAGCTTTCCTGTTCTAAGGGTGATGATCCTGTGTGAGGAAGGTCAGAGATGACAGTGCTGCTGTCCCTGTGTTTGGTGACACCAGGTGGCAGCCTTTGACCTCGATGGGACTCTCATCACCACGCTTTCTGGGAAGGTCTTCCCCACTGGCCCTAGTGACTGGAGGTGAGGTCGGGTGTGGCAGGGCTGGGAGCCCAGGTCCTCCTGGCTGTACGTCATTGCTACTTCCCACCAACTTTAGGATTCTGTACCCAGGGATTCCAAAGAAGCTCCAAGAGCTGAATGCTGAGGGCTACAAGGTACGTGGTGTGTGCATGGATATTCTCTAGGACGCCAAGAGCTATAGGGTGCGGGGCCTGTGTGCATGTGTGTACATGAAGACATACATGTTTGTGTAGAGAGTTCAGGCTGAGCTGTGGTGAGGAGCTCCAGTGTGTCCTTGTCTATCCCCAGCTGGTAATCTTCACCAACCAAATGGGCATTGGGCGAGGGAAGCTGCCAGCAGAGGCGTTCAAGGCCAAGGTGGAGGCTGTGTTGGAGAAGTTGGGGGTCCCATTTCAGGTACAGCCAGAAGGGACACTGAGGGGCTGTGCGGAACAGGGACCCAAAGAAAACATGCCAAAGTGTGAGGTGGAGGCCCTAACCGGGGTCATGCTGACAGAAATGACCTTGGAGGTCCTAAGCCCGAGGGCAGTGTAACTTGGCCACCTCCTTAGGTGCTGGTGGCAACGCATGCCGGTCTAACCCGAAAGCCAGTGAGTGGCATGTGGGACTATCTGCAGGAGCAGGTGAGCATCCTCCTCACCCCTATGTGGTCACCCCAGCCTGGCCCCTGGTGCCCTTGTTCCTCCCTGGTCCTTGCCAACCTCCAGGCCCCGGCCGGGGTCTTGACAGCGTGCATTGACAGACACTACACAGTAAAGGTCAGGTTAGGGTGCAGGTCAAGCCTGTGAGAGGTTTGAGCAGTGTTAGATGAGCAGAGATGCTCGTGACTGAGGGGAGAGCCTGGCAAGTATCAGGGATGTGAGAAACTGAGAAGGACGAGGCCCAAGGGTAAGAGCCTGCAGATCAGGCCGACCCTGATTGAGGCCACAACCCAAGTGGGAAGAGCAGGTAGTCGGGGCTGCTGTGAGATGTTCACCCCCGGAGGCCTCTGGGGAGCAGGCGAGACACTCGGCAGCAAAGCCCTTGTGTGTGGGGATCTAGTCAGCCCCTCTGCTGTCCCATAGGGAGGGGCTTCTCACTGCCTCTCTTTGCAGGCCAACGAGGGCATGCCCATTTCCATTGATGACAGTATCTTCGTAGGAGGTAAGAGGAATAGGCTTCTGGGGTTGTCAGGAACCGTCCCTGAGCTCGGTGGTAAACATGGTCACCCTCCCTTACAGATGCAGCAGGGCGCCCAGCCAACTGGGCACCAGGGAAAAAGAAGAAAGACTTCTCCTGCGCAGACCGCCTGGTACACTGGGTGCTATCACCGAGCCCCCTTCATTCCTGCCCATGATCTCCCTCACACCCACCCCTGCTGCACCTCTGAACTCTTCTGTCTTTCCCCAGTTTGCCCTTAACATTGGCCTGCCCTTTGCCACTCCGGAGGAGTTCTTCCTGAAGTGGCCGGAAGCTGTCTTTGAGCTCCCGGCTTTTGACCCGGTGAGGCCCAGAGGGGAGGGGGAGAGGCCCTTGCTGGGCTCTGCAGGCTTACACTGCCACCCCCTTTGTTCCCACCAGAGGACCATCTCCAGCTCTGGGCCCCTCTACATCCCAGAGTCCAGCTTCCTCCTCAGCCCCAACCCAGAGGTGGTGGTCACAGTAGGATTCCCTGGGGGTAAGATGCCACAGCCCTACCTCTGGCACCCTTGGGGGTAAGATGCCACAGCCCTACCTCTGGCGCCCTTGGGGGTCTTTTGGGTCCTAGACACTGGCTTATGGTCACATTGCTCCACAGCTGGCAAGTCCACCTTCGTACAGGAGCACCTGGTGTCAGCTGGATATGTCCATGTCAACAGGGTGAGCGGGGCTGTACCCACCCTCCCGGAGCACTGTTCTGGGGGCGGGGGGGAGTTTGTCCCCAGAACAACTTGTGACCTGTCCTACGTCCCATAGGACACGCTGGGGTCATGGCAGCGCTGTGTGAGCTCTTGCCAGGCAGCACTGAGGCAGGGGAAGCAAGTTGTGATTGATAACACCAATCCAGATGTCTCAAGTCGGGCCAGGTACTGGAACGCCATGGTGTGGGGGGCGGGGCACCGAGTGCTGGGTGTCAGTGACCGCAGCACGCGCTCTCCACAGGTACATCCAGTGTGCCAGAGACGCAGGCGTGCCCTGCCGCTGCTTCAGCTTCTGCGCTACGCTGGAGCAGGCTCGCCACAACAACAGGGTAAGCCGCTCCGTCCAGGCCTTGTCCCCCATCTAAGCCCCACGCCGTGACCTCTGTGCCTCTTTTTGCAGTTCCGAGAGATGACCGACCCCTCGCACGCACCAGTGTCGGACATGGTCATGTTCAGCTACAGGTTCAGGGGCTCTGGAGACTGGAGGGTGCAGGGGGTGGGGGATGCGGAGACACACCCTCCCCAGGGGGCGGGGGATGCGGAGCCACGCCCTCCCCAACTCTCACTCACACCCCACAGGAAGCAGTTTGAGCCACCCATGCTGACCGAGGGCTTCCAGGAGATCCTTCAGATCCCGTTCCGACTACGGACGCACGTGGACCCGGCCCTGCAGCGGCTGTACCACCAGTTCCTGGAGGGCTGAACCCACAATAAACACTGCCACTACCAATGGCCACCTTGCTGGAGTGTGAGACAAACCTGCATGGCATTCTGGACCTGGGCTTAACACAAGGCCTGGGGACTTGAGCAGCCAGGGAGTCAGCAACAGGTGTCAGAACCCAGTTGTGAGTTTGGTCAGATACTGTAGATTCAATGTAGCAAAGGCTGTCACGTGGGTAACTGTAGCCTGATGAGCCTACCTTCCCATCTTCTCAGAGACGGTCTAATGGCACACGAACCCCAAGCTGCCTGACTTAGCAGCTCTGCACAGGGGTGGACCAATACTGTGTGACCTCTGGACATACCAATCTTGCACTGAGTACAGAACTAGACAGCGTGTGGGTTTGAAGGCTTTATTAGGGAAACATACAGGGGTGCAAGGACCATCCTTGGAGACCTCAGGACGCTGTTCTCCAGGTTGCTGGGCAGGTACAGTCCCCAGGAGCCCCTGCTCAGAAGCATCTGACCTGGGAGGCAGCAGGAGGGGGTGGCTTCTACTCGTGAGACTGCACCTACCCCTAAGGCCCGGGCACCTGTACTCTGCCAGGGACACAGGTCCCAGAAGGCAGTGCCTCATGTAGCAGTTTCCCCAATGCCAAGGCCACCCTGCTGCTTCCTGAAAAAATAAACGCTGCTCACCAGTCTCCACTGGGCCTCGTCTGGGACTGTGGCCTGCCCAGCCTGGGAGTCCACTAGCCACCCATCTGCAGAGAAAAAAGCCAGGGGGTTAAAAGTGGGCAGCCATGGGCAGGGCCCGTGAATGCATGCATGGCGGGGCCACCTCACCCCTCGCTGCTGCTGCTCCTGCTCCAGGCTTCTCTGGAGGACCTGCTGCTGGTTGGCAATGACACGACGGATACCATTGACGAAGTTGCTCTGGTCATGCGGGATGAGGCCAATGAAGATCTTTTTCTCCGAGGAGTAGAGAAGCATGAGCACACGCACCTCACAGGAGGCCTTGTAGGAGAAGTGCACACAGCCCGCCTAACAGCAGGCCAAAGTCAGCCACAGCTGGATCCCTAAAAGCAGGTCCCGGGCAGGGGTCCTAGGCTGCCAGGCATGTGGCCCCACCTTGAGCAAGCTCGGGCTGTTCCTCTACACTGGGGCAAAGGCCCAGGAGACTCACAGACCCTGGCTGTGTTAACAGTGCCGACAAGCAAGGGCTCCCCACAGATGTCCTGAGGGACCTCACTAGTCCAGCTCAGGGATCACCTGCTCACAAGGGAAACTGAAGCCCAAGAACTGGGAGCCACAGGCCAACAGCACACAGTGGTGGCAGTCTTGTGCTGAGTAGGGATGGGGGCCCTGCTGGTACACTGTCTCTCTCTAATGACAAGCTTGGTGCCTCGGTTCTCCAGAAGAGGTCACAGTCAGGGTGTGAGGGCTGCGGGGGACTGAACATGCAAACTTGCAGGAGGCCCACCCCACCACGGCTTCCACAGACAGCTAGTCTGTCTCCTCCTCGGTGCTGCCCTGCACTCACGAAGCCGTTGTCCATGATGCGGCACAGGCTCTTGAGAGTCTCCATGTCCTTGGTGAAGTGGAACTGCACCAGGCGTGAGTTCCGGAACAGTGGCACAAGGGTGGTCTGTGGGAAGGCCAGGAACACTCTGGAACCTAGCTCTGTGGAAGCCAGGCAGCAACTCTGCAACAGCCCACAAAAGGTCTTGTGCCCGCCCCAGCCTGGCGTCCCCTGACGCTCACCAGCAGCTGCTGTGGGATGAGCTGCATGAAGAGCCTCCGTGGCCACTGGTCTGTCCTCCTGCCACAGCAGACACGAGGTCAGTCACAAGGTCCTCCCGCGGGTCAGCACCGCCTCTGTGCCTGCCCATCCCACCCCACTTACAGGATCTCCCCCTGGTTCACGTAGACGTGGGATGGCAGCCATCGCTTGGACCGGCTATTGGGCTCAGGCCTGGGCTTTGGGGCAGAGCAAGAGGGCACTTGAGGGGAGGGCGGGGGCAGGCCACCAGCCCACACAGCGCCCGCAGCTCACCTCCTGCCACTCCATGACACCACTCCACGCCAAGAACTTGTTGTTGACGATCTGAACAGGTCCAGAGTGCACGCCTCCAGGGCCCACAGCCTGTGGGACAGGACACCGGTAAGCTGCCAGCAGCCCTGACCACAGCCCCAGTAGGTTGCAGACTGGTCCTGCCTCACTGCCAGGATCCTGTGCTCCCAAGACCCAAGACAGGGCTCAGCCCCTGGTGGTGTGGAGGCCCGCACTACCTTTAGCAAGCAGCTAGCAGGAGGAAGCCACGAACATTTTGGTCAGGTGCCAGAACACATGGTCACCCCTCCAGAGATTTTGGGCTTCTTGCCAAACCTGCCACCCCACTCCTGCTCTTCGAGGACTCTATATCCTCCTAGATGTCCCCGGAACCCTTCAAAGCCTATAAAGCTACTTTTCCCACCAAGCCCTGTCTGGAAACGCACTGCCTCTCCACACCAGTCAGAGGCTGAATGTGCTCCACCTGTGGGAGCAGGGCCAGGCTGCACTCAGTGGCACACCTGTTTGCGGGTGGTGATGACCTGCCGTATGGCATTGACAAAGCCACTCTGGTCATAGGGGATGAGGCCCATGAAGATCTTCTTCTTAGACGAGTACAGCAGCATGAGCACGCGCACCTCGCACGGGGAGATGTGGGGGAAGAGCATGCAGCCCGCCTGTGGGGACAAGGCTGCAGGTCAGTCACATGACACCTACCTGACCTGCCTGAATAGGCCAGAGGCCCCAAAACACAGCTCAATTAAGGCCTTCCCAAGAGTAGGTCAGTCACTCTTGGCTGCCTCCTCCTCTACCCCCGGTGACTATAGGGCAGGGACAGGTGGGAGCCAAGGACCCATATGGCTGAGTGTGTTCCTCTCTTCTCTACCGACCCCAGCCTTGCTGCTGACTTAATGGCAGGGGGAGGTAAGGCCCAGCGTGAGAACTGGCTGTTCTTGTTTGGACCAAGGTTTGGTTCCCAGTTCCCAGTCTTACACACAGTCCCATAGGATCTGTCTGTGCAGTACCAGGCACACACGTGACACACACAAGCCATAAAAAACCAAACTCAACACCAATCCTAAAATTTTAAAGAACCCAAGGCAGGCCACCGCCCATCTCAGGGTCCCGGCTTTCCCGCCTGTAAGACACAGCAAGAGCACACAGTGACTGCCCCTCAGCCATAACTACACCACACTAGCTGAGATGCCGGTCCCTCTGCAATGGGAAGACAGGCTGCCCCATCCTGTGCCAGGGTGTACAAGAACCTGTACCTCATTGGCCAGCCCCTCTTGGACTACCTCTCCAGACTTGGGCCCGGCTCCAGGATGCTATCCCAGAGCTGCTGCTGGCAAAAGGCTGTGGCCTCCCATGTCCCAGTTTGTGGGGCCCAGCAAAGGGACACATCCTTGGAGGTGGCCAAATGGGAGGGGCAGACCAACCCAAAGTAGAGCTGGGGATGAGCCTGGAGGCTAATCCTCCGCTTGCATGGGCTGGTGACTCCCTCCCTGTCCCACCACCAGCTGCGTCCCAGTGACCTCAGACTGGGTTCACAACAGTAGGGGCTGGCCACCACCAACCGTCACCAAGTGCTGCACACACGCACACCTGCACACACACGCACACACACGCACACAGGCGGAGACAGGAAGCACCATGCACTCTGGCCAGCCCATAGGCGCATGTGCCTGTCGCTTCACAGTCCATCTCCACCAAGGTCCTGGGATGGATGACCACTTAAGAGGTGCAGGAAGACTCCCATCAGGACAAAACTAGGTCCCACCCCACTGCCCCCGACCCCACTCACGAAGCCGTTGCCCATGATGCGGCAGAGGCCCTTGAGTGAGTCACAGTCTCTGTTGGTGAAGTGGAATTGGGCCAGCTGAGAGTTTCGGAACAGGGGGCCCAGTGTGGTCTGTGGATAACAAGGGCAGCCGCTGGTCACGATGAGGCGAACATGAGGGATCCGGGGGTGGAGTCTGGCTCTGGGGCAGGGCTTGGGTTATGCAGGCAGGGCCAAGGCTCGGGGGCACAGTCCCACGGGACTCACCAGCAGCTGCTGAGGGATGAGCTGCATGATCAGCTTCTGGGGCCACTGGTCCGTCTCCCTGCAGTAGGGAGTGCATCAGAAGCCATCCCCTGCATCCTAGGCTGCCCCGGGCTCTGCCCACTCCCACACTCACAGGTTCTCGCCCTGGTTCACGTAGGCCTGGCAGGGCAGGGTGCGCTTCAGCTTTGCTGTGGAGTCCGAGAAGGGTCTACGCTTCTGCAGGCAGGAAGGGGTAGAGGACTCAGCAAGGTGCCCGGGCCGTCTGTAAGGCAGCCTCCCCAGCCTGGGGTTGGGGCCCAGCCGCGCTCACCTCCTGCCACTCCAGCACGCCACTCCAGGCCAGCAGCTTGTTGCTGAGCCGGTGCTCATTCACGGCGAGGCCCCCGAGAGACAGCCCGGGAGAAGAGGGCCCAATAGGCCCTAGGGCCCCAAAGACTCGAGCACCTTCCTGCAGCAGAGGGGATGAAGTCTGAGGTCATTCAAAGCTAGGCCATGCCACATTTCCCAGAGGGGACATCCTCAGGTTCAGACTCAGTCCTCGGTACACACTCCAGGTTCCAATCCTGTCCCCAGCAGCCAAGTCCTCAAAGCAACCATTCCGGCACTCTCACCCTTAGACCAATCTGTCAAAAGGCTGTGGGCTGCATCTGGGGCCCCAGTGCTCAGAGCCACCCTAAGGCCACTGTCAGCCCCAAGAGACGACTCCCACAAAGGATGGCCTTCCCTGAGGACCCCAAGGAGACATCAACCAGAAACCAAGTAAAAAGACCATCCTGGAGAAAAATGGGGAGACTCCCAAAGTACCTTGCACCGTAACGTTTGACCTGAATGATGGTGCTAAGTGAAACCACCCCCACCCAGGGAACAAGCTAAACTCTTTTCAGCTAAAACATTGCCAAATAAACAAGTGGGCTCCTGGACCAGCCTTTGAACAGACAGACCCGTGCGTGCCTCCAGGCCGAAGACCCTTCAGATAACCGCGATCGAATCCGCTGCTCATTTCTAAGCTCATGAGTCCTTTATAGCCTGTGTGATGACAAACCAGAAAGCGTTCTCCCGGCGTCTTAGGTCGCAGACCAGCCTAGGTCTTCAGTTAACACTGCTGAGGAGCCTTCCTGAAGAACACAGGCCTGCAGCACCCAGCCCTCGGGATTAGAGCAAAGGGGCACCCGGGCTGCCTGGCCTGCTCACACGCTTTGAGACAACACTACAAGGGGCTACACGTGTCTGTGTGTGTGCCACCACAGTCGGGCCTAAAGGAAAACCAGGCAAACATACTTAAGGACCCAACGAAATCTCAAACTAAGTTGCTTATGATGTGTTTTCGCCTGCCCCCCACGGACACCTGTGTGCCCGCAACAGCAGGGGAACACACTAGAAGCAAAGAGCACAGCTAGGGGCTCTACTGAGCGTGGCTCCCAAGTTAAGCTGCGTCCACGCATGCCTGACTTTGCTGCGCACTGCACAGCAAAGCCAAGACACATCTGTGGGGACTAGACGCATCTGAGAACCCAAGGAGCAGCTTCAACACTAAGGGAAAGCTTCAGGCCTAAGCTGCGTTACAACGAGGGGTGTGTCTGCGTTCCGCAGGCGATCCCAGTGGC